CGTGCCTCGTGCGGTGTGCCGGCGTTGCGGGGCGCGGGTGCGGACATGTGTGCGCGGACGTGAGGGCACACCTGACCACCGTCATGCCCTCGTGCGCCATGCTTTGGAGGCTGGCGAGGCCGGATGCACATTAGCTTTGAAGACACAATTGCGCCTGGCTGCCCACTCTATGCACACTTACCCCAATCCCATCGCCTCGGATCAGAAGGGGTACTCCATACCACCAAATGTCCAAGCGGAAGCGGAATAGCAGGAACCGGGCGCTTTGCACCCGCTTGTGCTCTTCCCTGGAACTCCACACTGGCACCTGTCTGAGCACGCTCGTTCACCCATGGATTGACATGTGCGACAGGCTGCAATCGTGCAAAACCCGCCTTCACGGCTGCATATGTGCATAGCGCCACGAAGCCACATGACCCGACGGACAAGAGAAGCGATCCAGCCACCAGCATGGCGGTGTGCGCCGGATCCCCGCAAATCACGTTGGGGTATCTGAGTTCAAGAACACATCGCAATTTCCGGAATTGTAGATGTTGGGTAAGAAGAAAGGAAACTTCAATAAGGAAGACACCATCTATGATCTGGCTATTTGTTTATATTTTGGTCACCAAAATTGACTCCATTATCAATATCATTTTGGATTCTAAGATATACTCTTTACCAACATCTTCAATCCGAACTGTAAATTCAGGAAATGCAAGGAGAGCTAACAATCAAGGGAGATGACCACAGACCCAGTTCTTTATTTCTTTCCTTCTTTCTCCCAACCTTTCCACATCCGAGAGACAGATGATGGGTTGGAATGAAAGGAGAAAAAGAGAGGCAAAGGAACAAATGGAAGATTGGATCTGTAGCAAAGCCTGATGAAAAAGCTACAAAATACTCATCGGCGTTCCGTTCTCTCTCTCAAAGTGGGCTTGCCCTTGAAAGTCACTCATTTGCCTCATTTGCCATTGACTCTCTGCCAGGGCTCTTCAGAATGCTTTGCTGCCCATTGGGATGTGTGTAACACATCAGCGGCGCCAAAGCGATTGTGCTCATAGTGCTGAAGCCGACCTGGGCACCAGTTACAAACTCATGACCGCGAGGATTGGAACAGCTCGCAACAAACCTGTGCTTGGATTGCTTGTGCTTTGTCCAGCAATGTTCGGCGTCCTCCTCCAAGGGTGTGAAACTATAACGTTCCTGGAGAAGATAGAAACTTTTTTTTGGAAAGTCAGGGCGTGCAAAACCGGAGCGCCGCGGCAAGATAGAAACCCTTCCGCAATAAGATAGAAACTTTTTTTGGAGAAGTCGGGCAGACTTGCAAAGCGACATGCTCCGAATAGGAAAGTAGTATTCGAGATTCAATTTTTAGTATGGGGCATAGTACTGGCAATGCCACATCTAGCGCTGGCAATACTGAATCAAGTACTGGGAATGGTAAATTTATTACTGGTAATGTACTACATTTAGTACAGGCAATGTAACATTTAGTACTAGCAATGCAGAATTATGTGCCGGCAATATATGTGCGACTGATATTGCGCACCAGTCAAGCTACCTGTCAGCCTCATGCGTCCCAAGGCCGAGCTCGACCGCATGTTGTGGTGCGCCTACTTTTGATTTGTTGCGCAGTTCGGGTGTGGCGTGAGTGATGCCCAATCTTGTGCAAGCTGCATTCAGTGCATTTGACCAGCCTTGGGTAATAAGCAACATACAGCTGTGTGCTGTGCTTGTGTCTCCGCGTCTTGCTGGGTGCAAATTACTTACAGTTGAATCTCCTCAGTCACTCGCTGCCAGGCTGCACTTAATGGCTAAGAAAAGCTCCAAGAATGCTGAGACCCAGACCTGCATGAACTGGCCCATCAGGGAAAGTGTTTTGGCCCACTCCCAACGGCGACTAGTTGGCAGGAGCTGGCTCAAGAAGTACGAAGCCAGGATCCAAATCAACGCAACAGGAAAGAAGACGACACTGCCTATGTAACGCAAAGATGTGGTGGAACCGGCGAGGCAAGTGAAGCCGAAGCTGTCGATGTCCAAGATGAATATCTGCAACCAGCCAAAGATCCCTTTCAAGTCAACGGGCCACTTCACCGTCATCATGGAAATGATGCCCACAGACTGCAAGGTTGTCACGGCCATGCCCATCGCGAGCGACGTGGTGAACAAGATCGTAGCCTTTCCAGACACCTTCGAAGTCAACAGGTAATAAGCCATGGTCAGGAATCCAAAGACCGCAAATAGAGAGAGCACCTCAACACGTGAGTGATCATTGCCTTTGACATGTGCGTCCATGGGCTGAGCATCAGACCCACATCGCCCTCTGGAAGTCTTGGCATTGCTTGCACTCGCCACCACTCCAAGTCATGCCTGCCAGGCGTTGCGGCAACATGTCTCAGCGGGCAATGAGAGCTCCCAGCCTTCGGGGCATTCTGCACACGGAATTCCAGAAAGCCCTCCTGCGCAGGAGCCTGCGCAGCGCTGGCCGGTCAAAAACAAAGGGACGGCACGGGATGTCAAACGCTTCTCCTGGAGGCCCGCCGGGGCATTGAATCGCCTTGCCGCACTTGTAAACCTCAATGAGAGAAACCTATCCACAGAGCCGAAGCTGGACACCCCAAGGCAGGCTTAGGATGGGGCTTCCAAGGGCTGACTGACCGTGCTGAAAAAGCCCTGCTTCAGTTCCGGCACATAGGCATCACCCAAACCCGCTGCGCCACTCTTCAAACCTCAGATGTCCAGGCCAGGCGTTCGCCCTTGTGTATGCAAAGATGTCACTCCGATGCCTATTTCCGGCCCAGGGTGATAGGCTTGTACTTCAAAGGAGAATCTGGGACAACAAGCACAGCCAAACATTGCGGCAGACACCTTTGCATGTTGCTTCGGCAATTCGGGCGGCGCCCAAAAAATAAGCTCGGAAACTCTGCACGCTTGACATCGGCGGGCAGGCGAGTCCCGACGAACAGGTGACGCAGCTGAGATTGCCTCGCGGGACATGTTCTGTTGAGCCAACTGCCATTGCCAGGTGACAACTGCCAGGGCCCGGCCTTCGCCGACATCAATGTCACCTTCCTGCAAACATGCCACAGCCAACGCTTTTGCGAGGGCTTCCCGCGACATAGTGTTAGCGACATGTGACGTCACAGCCCGTATTGCGAGTCAACCTCAAAAAATGAATTGCGGTGACACTGTATGACATGACACGACATGACATGAAATGACATGACATGTGTGTAAAACAAAAATGAAGTAGAATGCAATGCAACGCAATGCAATGAAAATGAACTGGTGACTGACTGCGTCACCGACTGAGTGAGTGACTGAGTGAGCGACTGAGTGACTGAGTGACTGAGTGACTGAGTGACTGAGTGACTGAGTGACTGAGTGAGCGAGTGACTGAGTGACTGAGTGACTGAGGGAGCGAGTGACTGAGTGAGCGAGTGAGCGAGTGAGTCTGAGTCTAAGTCTCCGCCTGAGTCTGAGTCTGAGTTTGTGAGAGGAAGGGAGGGCAGGGGAGGGAGGGGAGAGGACAGGAGGGGAGGGGAGGGGAGGGGAGGGGAGGGGAGGGAGTGAGTGAAAGTCAGAGAGAGTGAGTGTCAGAGTGAGTGAGAGTGTCAGAGTGAGTGAGAGTGCAAGAGTGAGTGAGAGCATCAGAGTGACTGAGAGTGTCAGAGTGAGTGCGAGTGTCAGAGTGGGTGAGAGTGAGTAAGAGAGGGAGAGGGAGTAAGAGTGACAGAGTAACTGAGAGTGAGGGAGTCTGAGTGAGAGTATGTGAGAGTATGTGAGAGTATGTGAGAGACTGAATGAGAGAGCCTGTGAGAGTGAGTAAGAGCAAGAGTAAGAATAAGAGTAAGAGTAATGATAAGAGTAATGACAAGAGTAATGATAAGAGTAAGCGAAGTGTGAGTGAGAGGGAGAGCGAGAGTGAGTAAGAGTGAGTGAGAGTGCATCAGAGTGAGTGAGAGTGAGGGAGTCTGAGTGAGAGAGAGAAAGTGAAGTAAGTAAGTAAGTGAGTAAGTAAGAAATATAGAAAGAGAAACAAAAGAAGAAGAAAAAAGAAAACAGACTGAGAGAGAGCGAGAGAGATAGAGTAAACAAGTGGATAGAGGCATCGCCTGGGCCCCACCATCCGCAGTTCAGCGATCTGAAGCTTACGTACATCTCAAGCCTGGTGCCCACCAAAAACTCAAAAACCGACAGCTCCAGGAGAAAAGTGGAGAAAAAAAGGGCCGGCCATCGCCTGGCATCCACAGTCAGAGATCGCCACGGATCCCAAGCCCAAAGTCCGAGACCCTGATGGGCAGCTTTCGCACGTGGAAGAACCCCGTTCCTCGCTCAAAGTGCAAGCCGCGTTGTGAAAAACCATTCCGAGCCCTGTGAACTGCTTCCCCATTCCGAGGCTCATTTTGGTAATCGCCGATCTGACAGCGCTTGCAAGATGGACTGCCCTCTTCGTCCTGAATCCAAGCCACAGCGTCACATGTGCAACAAAAGTATTCACACACAGGCAGACAGGCAGACAGGCAGGCAGGCAGGCAGGCAGGCAGACGGACAGACAGACAGGCGGGCAGGCAGGAAGGCAAACAGGCAGGCAAACTTTTGCTGGACAGCCATCAACAGGCTGAGTGCAGCAAGTATGCATGCGAAATGCTCACGCTCCTCGAATAGTAAATGTTATCCCTAGTTACATTGTAAGCAAAGCAAGCATGCGCACACCTACACACACACGCATAGACGGCCTCATGTCATCAGTGGCAATTCGCTACAAGAAAATGCAACATATTCCTATTTAGGGCGTGCGTGAGTGATGCTGACACTCTATGCAACCGCTTTGCGTGCTGCTAAAAGTGCTTTTCCCCAAACTTGTTCAAACGCTGCAACACAACTTCTGTTCGATCTCGAACTCTGGAAACCATTTCAATACTACATTTTCCAATTAAGTCAACTTTCAAGTGCATGGCTCAACATTCTGTAAATAAGTAACAGAGCAGCATTTGTAGGGTATCCTGTATCCTGCTTTCGGCGTGAGATAAATGGAAAGACATGAAACAAAGCCATAAGCATCGCACATGACAACCTGGCACTCCCTCTCTCTCTCTCTCTCTCTGTACCTCTCTCTCTCTGTACCTCTCTCTCTCTCTGTACCTCTCTCTCTCTCTCTTTCTCTCTCTGTCTGTCTTCATCAATCATCAAGCTACGAGCAAGACATCCCGCGCAAAAGAGAGATTTGATGAATATTTACTTTAGTGTAGGTAACGCACTCATGTGTTGGCGTTCAATAGCTTTTGTAAAAGTTGTATGATGATTGCGTGAGCCATGTTCAGGCAATGTAGCACAAACCATGCTTATGCCAACCATCAAGCAGCCATAGAATACTTGACCAACACAAAGCAAACCAGAATTGAACATAACTGTCTGTTACTGTGCGCTAGACCAGTATGACATTATGTGTGATTTCAGTCGAGCGACGACAGGAACACGTACCTTTTTTAAGCCCATTGAGGAGAAGGCAAATATCAAGCTGCAAACATGTCGAGGAAACCCACACATCCACAATAAAAACGATCCTAAACATGGTGTTGGGTTCTCTTCACAATTTCTTGGCAAAGGTTGCTTTGTTTTGGCACTGAGTAGTGCAGTAGACTACAAAAGAGAGCCATGTGCTTGGTATTCCCAAGCAGTAGTCATCTCTGTGGATATGCATTGATCATGCCGGATGCAAAACGCAAGGAATGAGTGCCTAAGGCCGTCTCGGCATCTCAAGAGCAAATTCAAGTGCTACAGCGGATGTTTGCAACTCAGCAGGCTGTTTGAGCAGGTGGGGGCGTTTGCCGCTGCGTTGCAGGGCAAGCATAAACTGAACTGGCCGGACATTGGCCATCTTGCTTGCTGCTTGCTGGGGCAGCCTGTCTCAAGCAAAGCTTGGATCGATGAATGTGATAATGATTAGATGGTTCACGATTTCTCGAATCTTTGGTGAAAAGGAAAGTGCTCTCAAAGCTTCCCGTCGGTTGCTGGCGGGGATACCTGGGCGTGCAAGAATTCGGTCATCAGATGCTTGGATATAGAGGGAAGGGCTGGCATGCTGAGCCCTTTGTGACCCAAATAAACGGACCCCGTAAAAGTGTAGAAACCTTTTGCTGAAAAGTTGCTATCTTACTTTATCTCAACAAGCGGCGAATAGCAATTCCTGGAATGTCCAATTGGCGTTCCTTCCGGGAGGGTTGATGGATTGCAACTGTTCGACTTTTAGGACAAAGCATGACCCAGTTCTAACAGTTTCTCCCAGAGCATGATGCAGGTTCTTTCTTGAAACCATTTCTCATCTCAGGTTGCCAAATTAGTATGATTACTCAGATGCTTCCCAGGCTGAAAAACCAAGGACCCAGGCAATCTCCTTTGGGACACTAGCCAGCTAGGGAGAAGCTCAGCAAGTGCGAGCAGCGCCCACCAGACGAAACTGCAACTGGTCGGGACATCGTTTGTTGAAGTGTCCCACGCTCCCTCCAGAACCCGTCTAGCTTTCCGGCATCTGGGAAAAAAACGCTGGCTAACATCTTCAGGAAGATGAGAGTCCGAAAACAGGTCCCTTGCGGTCCTGGTACTCGCCTGCTGAGCAAGGCTCACAGGACAACGATGCTCCTGATGGCTGACTTGTTCCAGTTGGGCAGAACTCGCAGGTGAACGTGACGCCCTGCGCAGGTCTTGCCAATGACTTCACATCACAAGAAAAAGACCGATGCACATCTACCAACAAGCACAAGTCAGTACTGACATAGAACAATATGGCAACGCACAAATTCTGGAAACTCACACTCCAATCGCCGTGTTCAATTCTCAGTTTCATACGCAAGGCAAGCTCAACATGGCGGTCAACAATCGAGCCTTGTCGTCATTGAACTGCTTGGAAAATCTTCCCGACTCGCATGCGATGCATACCACACTGCTGAAATTCTGTCTGTTTGGCACGAATGTGTTCGTCTCGGTGCTGTAGAGGCCAAAACCAGGGAAGCACTTGGTGTCATCCGGCAGCCATGCTTCCCAGGAACCTCCCCACAAGGATCCATTCCGAGAAATGGGTATGTGTCAAAATAGGGGGAAGCATGAATCATGGTTTTCCTTTTGCTTTCCCTCTAAAACCATCCCAAAAGAGGGTTCCCTCAGAAAACACATTGCTGTGTGGAATCACACGCTGGATGTGACGAAAAGAACTGCAGGAAGCTCTGCTCTCTGCCTGAAAGCTAACTTGTTGCCTGAAAACGACGCACAAATACCACATGCGCTCCGACGGTGAATTGCATCAAGCCAAACTCAGTCACCATAAAGACACCATACTAGTCATTAATGTCTGTAGCATGGAGTGGACTCTTGGGAGTCAAAAAATGCTCTCCACTATAGACACGTGTCTTAGTCTCCCTGTCTTTCTCTCGCTCTCTCTCCGTCTTTTTGTGCCTCTGTGTGTGTGTGTGTGTCCGACACTATGTCTCTGTCTCTCTTTTTGCATGTCAGAAGGGATTTGGCCGCAACGGCAGCTCCCTTTGCAAATCCACAGAGCTGCACCTTCCACGCATGCTGCACGGACCCTAGAGTTCCCACCGCATGTGGCCGCAAGGTCTGTGCTGAACCTGCGAGAGGGTTGACTTGGGGCGCATGACGTTCGCCATATGGCGCGCCCTTCACGCACATTCCGCCAGGTGACCTCGCGGCGCGCAGCCCCGGGCAATGGATTGCTCCTTATGGACGTACCCTGCACCGAGCCCTGCGCTCCTCCCTTCACGTGTTGCTTTGTCGCTCCCCGTGAACTGCCGGATGGCGCCTGCCTTCACCCTCCCCACGAATTTGGCCTTTCCGCCCTAGCTGAGCGTTCAACAAAAGTCTCCTCTGAAAGCATGAGTTGCTGGATTTCTAACCAGCTTGATCTGCATTGACCTGCTTGTTGCTGCCCGGAGAGGTTGGAATGCAGTTGGCCTCTTTGCGATTGACCATGGCATGTTGCATGGCTTTGGTAACGTCAGCCTTGGGCTCGACTTGCGAGCGCATCTATAAAAGCCACATCATGACTACGCTAGAAAAAATCCTTGGGCCGGCTCTAGGCGCGAGTGGCAACGGTGGACGCACGCCGAGAACATGACAGACTCGAGTGACCAACAAGAAAATGGCGCATTCGTTTGGCACTTGAGGGACTAGATGGGTAAGGGTTGGCAGCGCGTGCCTTAGCAATTCCAACAAAGCTATAGAAGTTTGGCCAGAAGCGTTGAGGGAAACACTAGAAAACACAAGAAACAAACACCAGCACACTTGAACCATCAACCACACTATACAATCTACATCGACGGGTTCACTCCCGCTGTGAGAGACAGAGAAATAACGGTGCACAGAGAGAGACACAGAAGGGGCCGCAGAGAGACACAGAAAGCGACAAAAAGAGACAGGGAAAGAAACGCAAGGATTCACAGGCACACACACACAAAGAGCAAACAGAGAAACACAACGGTAGAAAGGGGTCAGAGAGACACAAAGAGGCAGAGAGACGGAGAGGGAGAGAGAGACAGCGTGCGAGAGACACTAGGAGACACAGAGATGCACAGAGACACGCAAAGACACACTTAAACCCCAGAGGAAGGAGTGATTCAAATCAGCGTTAGAAAATGTCAAGCGGGTAGTTCGCTCAGAGAAATTCGAGTGGGTCATTTCGGCTTGCGCTTTGCACACGTGGCGGCGCTTAGCCTCGCTAAAGCTACTTTAGCACTGGCATCTCAGCAAGTGACTGGCACCAAGTCCCATCAACTAACAAAACGTTTGCCAGGTGCAAAGGTGTGCTTTCCTGTTGAAACGCGAACGGCGGCACAAACTGTCTTCCCAGCCTGGATGGTCCTTCAGCCATTTGCAAGCCGTATCTTCCATTGTTTCTCCAGTTACCTTGTTCTCCAGCAGCATGAAGTTGAGAGCTTTCAAATCAATACGGAAATTCCTTAGCTGATGCCAAGTAATCTACATGCCCGACAAGCGTGCCATGAAACAGCTTGAGCCATCAAGCCTAGACTCGCAATCAGCTCCTGGACATTTGGTGCCAGCAGTGTCAGATCTTTGCTCACGTACTTGTCAATGGATTGTAGATAGTTTTCCGTCCTTTTATCCCCCAGAGACCAAGCCGCCTCGTCATTAAACGGGTACACAATCGCTTGCGGACGCAACTCCAAGAAAGTAGGATCCGGGGTCCACCAGTAGAAACTGCTCTCGTGCATCAGTGGCAATTGTGTGAACATGGTCCAATTTACCGCCACTGCCACCGCAATGGGCATGTTCCAAATGGTGGACTTCTGCATCCACTCCTGGCACAAAGCCAGAAGAACGACTCTTTCAGTCACGTTGATTTCTTCGACGATTGTGCTACGAATGCTCGGATTGGGGAAAGTGTGCGCGTCGTGCCAAACTCGTGGTGACATCAAGCGCGGATTGCGCTCTTGTCTGCGCGCTCTCTAGCACATTCGTAACAGGTGATGAGAGCCTTAAACGCATGGAACCTGGCAAACTCCATGGCCCCTACAAATGCCAGGCTTGCACGGACAGAACACGCTCACAACAAAAGCACGACCAGGGTCGTACATGGCAAAGTAAATCACAATTGCCCTAAAACAAAGCGATCTAAAACGCTGGGCAACAGCGCCACTCCAACCTCCGAGGCTGAGAGTCACAATTCCACAGACGGTGACGAGAGGTGGTTGCTGTCACGGCTTGTCCACGTTTCTCGAGCTCATGTTTCCTGCGACTTGACAGAGCAAGCCGCCAGCGATTTGGCCTGAAACGAGAAGCCCAGCTCGTGCTGGGGCGATTCCTTCTATGGTTGGGCTTCCCTTGCAACCCATTAAAACAAACTTACCCTCAAAACACACACTCACACACACAGACAAACACACAAACACACAAACACACAAACACACAAACACAGACACAGACACAGACACAAACACAAACATAGAGACACACACACACACACACCTCTGTGAAACTTCTGCAAGTGCGGAGGGCCATCTTCCGGACGACTTACATCGACTTTCCGACTTAATTTGAAGTATGTTGGCTCTGAAGCGCTGACATTGACTCTGTGGATGTCAGCTCCTGACAGCCTTCCGGCAGGGCTGCTTCTGCATTTGTCTTGACCTCCTGACGCCCTGAGTTTAGCTAGTGAGGGATCTCGCGCGTTCGGGCAATTTGTGCCTACTCTCACAATGCGAACAGCGGGCCAAGTCAGTTTGTTCGGGTCCTTGAAAAGTGATCCAAACCACTCGTTATACAAATGTGTGTGTGCTTGTGCCTGTGTGGTGTGTGTGTGTGTAGTGTGTGTTTGTGTTTGCGTTTGCGCTTGTGTTTCTGTGTTTGGTCCTTTTGTTTGTGTGGCCCAGTGGCTGGACATGCGTGTGCATGCGTATGCGCGCATTTGAGCACCACATCATGCGTGCCTCGATATTCCAGCCAGTGCCCCCGGTGAAGAATGGAATGCAGTGAGATGTGTTTGAGCGGCAGCCAGGTGGCAACCAAAAGAATCCATCGGGGCACACGGCATGCCATGTGCCATCCGGCAGCTGGGCGACGCCGTCTGCATCGTTCGTGAGCTCACGATAGAGCTTCATGTCTTCACTGCTGGAGTAGAATCGAGTTTGATTGCACGGCGCCAAATGCTTCCTGTCTACAGCCTCCAGGCCGGTAAAGTAGGTCCACGGTGTATGCCAGCTGACATTGTAATTGCGGTAGTATGACAGCGCCAGACCTTCATTGGCATACGAGTTGCTTGATATGGTAGATGCGACATACATCGTCACACTGCCATAGTACCCACTGTTCCCCAAATTGACAGGAGCTATGGATGGATATGCCGCCTGCAAGTAATCCCAGGTGTTGGCATAGCTGTAAGTCCATCCCTCCAGGTTAGCATGGTTGTGGGTAACCTCAACACATTGCCCGACGTCTGACTCAAAATGGAACATCAAAGTTAGCTCAACAACACCTGGGCCAACTTTGTGACTCGGTCTCAGAAAGGACATGATACAAAACCTTCGGTCACACATGCCGCCTTTCACGCTTCTGACCGAGCACAACCAAGACCAAAACAAGGCAACACACAAATCAAAACAACGTCATTCTGCAAAGAGAGGGCATGTTCATACCATATCATGTAATGTAGACGGTTCGAGCATACATGCACTTGTAGTCAAGTCACAGCGTCCTTACTGCAGCCGCGATCGGCCAAGGAATTCGGAGTTGCACAGCCCATCAGCGCGTAAAATCCTGATAGCGTGTCCACGCCTGGGCCGTTCTCGGCAACGTTGAAACCCAGCTTCTCCTCACACAAAATAGTTTTGAGATTTTGCGAAGATCCGAATGAGTCACCTAGCATTGAACTCGCTGCGACCCCTCTCCTCTATCAGAATCTTCGCCAGCTTGGTGACCAAAGTGGCCGCTGACCAGCTTCCCGGCCACAGGCCCACCGGGTAGCTCTCGCCATTGTTCACCTGGCGTCTCGCACGCCCCTGAGTGGCACCCAACAATCCTGAACTGGGCAGGAGGCCTTCCCCACAAAACTTGTCTTCCAAAACCCTGTCAGCTTCCATGGTTGGAGGGGTAGAAAGCGGAACTAAACCATGAATCTGAAGCGAGAAACCAGATTCTTGCGACTCAGCGGAACCACGGCATCTGGTAGGCAAAGAGACTCGCCATGCTGCACACAAAGTAAACCTCATGACACTTCACAATCAATGAGCAGCACATACAGCCCCGCATGCAACTACCCTAAAATGAAAGAAACTACGTCTTGAGTCAACGCGCAAACATTCTGAGCCAATGCGTGCAAGTGGCCAAAAAGAAGCAAAGCACGGGGCATAGCTGAGATAAAGAAGATCTCACTGATCTCGTTGCACAAAATGGCTGCGCATGCACACAAGGATGCAAACAGCCTGAATACGAAAACATATGCGTGCTTGCGATATCAAGAAGTGCGACCACGAGAAGTCCATCCTTGGTGGCCTGAAACTCACGAATTACAGTTTGATTAGATGGGTGCGTGCTGACCAGCCAATTCAAGGCAGGTGCATGTGTTTCAGTCCGGCGCGTTCTCAGCGCCCTTGCAGAAATGGGTGTTGCAGCTGGCAAGCTTGGCACAAAAGTTTAAGGCAACAATTGCGATTCATAGCCCGCTCGCGTGAGCGCGAAGACTGTGGTTAGCTGCCTCGGTTGGTTGGCAACATTGCAAAACAAGCCAAGCCGCGTGGAAAAAATGGTTTCACAAGAAAAGATGAAACAAACCAAACCAATCCCAAGACCACCCCCCAACCAAGCCTAAACCACCCTAGAACTCATCTGCCCCCAAAACACCCCGACCCATAATTCCAAGACGGTTTCATCTTCGCTTGAAGTAGAATCGGTCAATTAGTCCAAACGGCAGTTACCCCTACGCAGCACTGGTTTTTTTTTGAACCACGCGGATGTTGCGATCACGCCAGTCCACTGTTGTAGCGCAAGAGATGCCGTAAAACAAAAAAAGTGTCTAAGAAACAGACCGAACAATAGAAAAAACACAACACAAAGAGGACGCAACAAAGCAAAAACCACGCTTCGACACCAGGGAGCTATAAGCTGCTCGTCAACTGCACTGGACAGGCAAATCCACCAACCGTAGCACGTCGACTCGAGTTTAGCCAAGTGTCTCAACACGGTGAACCACGCGGCAGTGGCGATCACGCCAAGAAAAATAAGCACCAACGGGAAAAACGCAAGCAAACAAACAAACAAACAAACCAACGCATCGACAGCAGGAAGCCTAAGCTGCCCGTCACGCGAACTAGACAATAAAGTCCATCCACGTAGAAAATATCGCGGACTTGGAAACGGGTGTCTCAACAAGCCAGAAGGAGGGAACGCATGTCATTTGCCAATATGGAACCCTAGAAGGTATAAAACAACCGGGAAGCGTGAGTCTCAACCGGTAAGCGCCATGAAGATAGTGTGAGGCGAGTGCCAAGGCCACCACACAGGTGAGCAACTGAATTCAGGTGAGACAAATGCCCTAATCAATGCACCGCGCCTGCAGCTCTGTCCGGAAAATGTCAGCCCGTATCCAACATCTGCAACCCAGAAAATAAAAAGAAGCAAATAATTTCGTGCCACCAAATACCCACCATCCAGTGATCCATAAGCTCACCAAGGCACGAAACGCCGCAAAAAGCCAGTGGAAGCCAATCAGGGCCGCAAAGTAAGGCTCCTCTGAATTGCACCATTGCCGCACGCAGGCGAATTGCGCTGGCCTATCAACCGTTCAACATCCGGTTGATTCGTCGGTTTCCTTTGCTGATCTCGGCTACGTTCTTGCTCTGCAAACCTTCTCGCATCCTGATTGATATCAAACTGCATTGCGCCAGAAATAGGATTACTCCAACTCTGCGGCGGAATAACCTGAGGCATAGGTCCGGAAGTCTGAGCATTTTGCGTTGGGAAAAACGCGGATCATCAAAGATGTTGCCTCTTCTGTCCAAAATGATTCCGAGCTGACATTTGGAAAACTGGGCGCAGGTTGATTTTTTGTCACCCGCGCGCCTTGGGGCAATTGCCATCGGTCACGAAACATGACGTACATCATACATGGAGAGGTGAGACAGACGTGAGACACAGAATCATCATCCAGACGAAACTAAAATAATCGAGGCACCGAGAGAAGGCACCGAAAAAACGCACCAAACCAAGAGACACAAAACGGACAACGCCAACGAACGACAAAGAGTTTCGCCCAGATGGTGATCGACAACGAATATCCGCAGCTCAATCAAAAAGTCCGGGAATTGAACTACATTGACTCCAAAAGTAATTGAAAAGGCAAGCAGACAAGCAAATTGCGCAAGTGGACGCATAAAAGGTCGCCATGCAAAGCATAGAGAAATTAAAAGTCTCTCACAGGCAAAAAGGACCACAGGTAGTGGCCAAGCAAAAAGAAACACGCACTAATTATTGCAGCGCACAGGCATCGCGGTGCCGCCAAGGGCGGCACTGCGCAGTTCTCACGCACATACACCATCACAGTGGAGCGCTAACGAAGTGACAAGGCAAGCCGCTGCCCATCAAATGTATGAGGCCCGGTAGACAGACGCCAAGAGCCCAAGCGGGCTTGGCTCTACGACCGTATCGCACAACTCACCACGTAGCTGGCCAAAGGAAAGGGATGCTCATCCAGCAATGAGCCCACACGCGCCCACCAAAATGACACAACCTACAAAGGTACAAATCTGGGAGGATTAACAAAGTCCTGTGCATCTGTCAACGGAAAACAAACAAAAACACCTGCAAGGCCAAGTCGAGGCATACCTGCATGCGCACTGGTAAGAACAGCGGAGCAGAAGAGCGGGGCATAACAGCGTTGAAAGCAGCGACGGGAACTCCTTCAAAGACTGGGCCTGAAAAATGAACAGGGTCTTTTTGGTAAGCAGCAAAACGTCTTGAGCGGGTGCGACCTGCGGGCAGCCTCTGACCATGGTGGATTCCGGGTCAAGGTCATCCGTTGCTCAAGGAGGAATGTTGGACGAGCTGCATGGTTGTCGCAGGATCTTAAGGTGCAAAATGCAGTGCCGTATGACCGCATGACCGTATGATCCGTATGATCCGTATGACTCGCAGGCTGACGTGGCCTTGATGCCGGGCAGGTGGCGCGGCAGCGGAGGCTTCGATGCCATTCTGGCGGCAAATTTGAATTGTCTTGAAGCAACGATGGCGCAACATTGGATCAATAATGCGCAGCCCGGAGCAGCGAACTGCGCGAACTGCGCAGCGACTGCAGCGACAGCGGCTGCACCGAAGACGTGGCCGAATCAGCCGGCGCCACGACCGCTCAAGCGCTGACAAGAGTCGTCTGCCGGCAGCCAAGGCCGAGCCGCCGCAATCGCCTGTGGCTGAGCTACCCCCGTAGGCGGTGATTCCGCCCGCGCAGGGAGTGCCCCACGACGAGCCAGCGGCTTGGGAGGAGGAGAAGGGGCTGGGACGACCTGCGCTTCCATGAGAGGATGGCCTGGATGAGAAGGCATCGACTGCCTCAAGGCTCCGTGGGCCAACTGCTGTGAGACGGCGGGGGCCCAACGTGCCGCAGCTGCTCGGTCAGACGCGTGCGAGGTCGCCCGCACGTGGAGGCCTGGGCCCGCGGAGCTGCGGACAGAGACAGGGCTCGGCGCGAAAAGGCGCCAGAGCGCGACCAGGCGCGGCCACTAGTCATCCTTGCAGGAGACGCGGAGACACTCTTCTCCGCGACGGTCAAGGTCCAGGTCTCCAAGGTGCCGCAGACGCAGACGCAGACGGGCCGCCTCCAGCGCAGCCTCAGCACTTTCGGTGTTCTGAAAGTCTTGAGAGTTGCGAGAGTCTTGAGAGTTTTGAGAGTTTGGGGAGTTGAGTGGAGATTTGTTTAAAATCTTGTGAGAGTTTTGCGTTGAGAGTGAGTCTTGAGAGTTTGTAGGAAGTTTCGATCCATCGTAAATCGTAAATGTTCGGAGAGTATATTGAGAGTTTAGTGTCCGTAAGCAAAAGCAAAAAGGACAGGATTGGCTTCCGTGCACCATCCTGGGAGCACTCGAGCAACAGCACAGCATGGTGTCCGAAACCCACTGTTTCAGACTGCATACTACCATAGAGAGGTGTGACATTCAGGAAATCGCCGGAGTCCCGAAACCCATGGAAGAAAGCTAACTCCACGCAGTGCATCTCATGCGGGCCCTTACGTAGGATTGTCACCTGAAACCTGCGCCCGTCCGGGTCCTTAGCCACGCCCCTGCTCTTGGGACCGCAATTTGCGGGGCAGCATACTCCAAGAAGTAGCGCACGTGGAGCGGCACCGCTGCAAAAAGGTCCCTGAGGGCATGGAGCAGAGATTGCTCAACAGCATCCCTGGCACCAACGGCCTGCTGCAACACACGCAGGCGAACGTGTCGGACAACGTTCTCGAGGGCAAGCTGGCGCGATATGGTCCCGTCTCCACAGAGAAAGTTGATGGCGGCAAGGTCCCCCTTTGACCACGTATTGAATTGCTCTCCACATGGCTGTACCAATCTTTTCCACGCTCATCCATGTCCAGAACACCAGCCCAAGGCATAATGCAGGGCCTCAAACCTGTGACTCGTCGGCACCGCCTCCACATACTGACACTCCAGGGCCTGGAAAGTGACCTGCCCGTGCAGCCGGTGAGGAAGGAAAACCAGGTGCCCATAACGATGTCTCGACTGCCTACCCGTTCCTTCACCAAAAAGCAACACCACAAAAACATGCCTCTTTGCAAGCTCATCCAAGTCCAATCCGGGCTCCAAAAACACAAAAGCCAGCCAGTAGGAGCCAACCAAACCCAGCCAAAAGCCAGCCAGGAGCCAGCCAAACCCCCAGAGCCAGCCAAAAGCCAGCCAGGTTTCCTTTGAGGGGGCTCGCCTTGCAGAAACAAAGGCAGCAGCGGGGCATTTTGCCAAACCGCATATCTAGGGGTCGTTATGTTGCAGCCACACGCCTGCGCCAGCGTTTTAGGTTTCGATCCTTCGCAGGACAAGGTCGGTTGTGCCAGCATGTCCGACGCACGGCGGCCTGACAGAAAAAAAACGGTGGGGGGAGCTCTCTCTTTAGAGGGGGTTTCCCAAATGGATTCTATTCTACCTGACAGGCTCCTAGCACTCGTCCGTCCAGGAAATGACCTCGTCCTGCGAAGGATTCGAGGTCTAAAACGCTGCGTGCAGGCGTGTGGCTGCAAAATAATGACCCCTAGATATGCTTGCAATTTGGCTCCAGGTTGCATTTCAAGCGAGCCAACCTTTGCAGGGCTAAGAAAAAAAATAAAAAAAAAAAAGAAAACAAGGGGTCCCAAAAAAAAGGGAAAAGGGGTTTCCTTTGGCAAAGCTTGACATCGCTTGAAATGCAA